CTGGACCGAACACTGAACCCCACTCGGGCTACACTCTCTCCAGCAAGCCCCCAGACTACTTCATCTGGTCTCCGTGTGTATGAGGCGTCCAGGGAAACTCCTCTCCATCACACGCTAAGGGATCTATCAGCATGTCTGCCACGCGCAATCAAATCCTACACTCAAATCTATCTACCCAAGACACACCTAAAAATAGCTGCTTCCTAACAAACCTACCCTCACCAGACTGACGCCGACTTAAGTGAAGGTGAGGAAGGTGGACTCTTCCAGCTCTTCCTGGCCAGAGAACAAACAGAGAATTAGTCAAATAGGCTGGAAAGCAGGCAGGCGTGCTGGTTACGGACTAACACGCTAGCTGAGGACCCTTGGGCGAGGGAGGAGTTGGCCGTTTCTCCTGTTGCCTGCGTGTCCCCACACACTCCCCAGACATTTGATCCCATTATACAAAGCTGCAGGCTTTTCATCTCTAAAATTAGCCAAACAGAGGTAAATACAGTATTCCTAACTGACAGTATTTATCTCCTAAATGGTTTTGGCAAAGCAGATTGCTCCCTGGGCAAGGAACACAATCCAATGTTATTGTCACTTGAGTGGAGAGGAACGGGCCACTAGCGATTCGCTGGATCCCACAGCGCTGAGGAGCCCCTGATCCCCTCCAGCCAGCCCTTCTGCCCAGAGGAGAATGTCACGCCTCTCATTTCACCTGGTCCTCCAGCACGGTGTATTAAAGATGCATATTTTATATCAGGAGAGTGGATCAAGTAGCTTGTTGGTGAGGGCAGCTGTATTCTCAGGACCGATTAAGATGCTTTGTAGAAATTTAAATACCTCTGTCAGGCAAACCAAATCATATCAGGAATCATAGAATTTCATTGCTAGAAAGAGAAATGAGATTAAGCCACCCACGCGCCTTTCCTAGAGCCCTCAATAAAACAGGAGTGCATTTCAACAGCCTCTCACTTCCGGTCTGAAGGGGCCTCGCAAGAAATCTAAATGAATTTATGTGAGAGAAGGCTATCACGAGGAATGGCCTTTCCATCAGCACGAGTTGTGTGAAACTGTAAGTAAACGGTGCCTACTGGAATGCACTGGTGCTTAAAATAAAAAATAAATTTAAAAAACAACAACAGAAAAACGCAGGAGCAGAGACCATGGCAAGCTCAACTCCACGGAGCTTCAGCCCCTTAAAAATCCGTTGTCCTTTATTAATATTTAGTAGAAATGTATAATTGCAGATGTGTGCTACTTGGGGTTTTATGTTGGGAGGCGGGCAAGGAAGACAGGTTTATTACAGCCATGAAATATTAAACAAGCGTGGAAGAACAGTAGTTATATGCCCTTCACTAGCCAGGGAGTGGGCAGCCAGAGCACGGGCCGCACAAAGGGGGCCCCTATCCGTTTACAGTACCCTTGATTAGCACCTGAGGAGCGTGGGGTTACATGTTCTGAAGGCACAGAAGTCACGTGAAGGCGTGCAAACTGTGCTGGGTGACGTTGCAGAAGAACGGCCACCGCCGTGCCGGCTCACTTTCCCAGGGCAAGTCCAGATGAGACTTCAAAATTCTCTCTCTAGTGCAGGCATGATGGACCCAGGGCCCCATCAGCCAGGGCTTAGCCAGGACGAGCCTTGCTTCCTCAAGTCCGCCATCCAACAAAACCTAGCATCCCGTTCCCGGCTTACCTAGGACTTTCTCAGCCCTGCCTGAGTTCCTACAGGAATACAGAGGAGCATGCAATTGCAAAAAATTTCTCCCAAGTCTCTGTAAAACACACGACTTCCAAAGTTGGGGGGTGGGGGCAAGGACTGGGTGGGAAGCACAGACTGGGCCAGCTCCACCTCACCATCTGTGGAAGACCCTCTAGCCAGTGGATTCAATTTGTAGGGCTACCAGCGTAAAGAAGGAAGTTTGGTGAGAACAGACTAAGATCATGGAAAATTCCCATCCTGAAAACCATGTGGGGCAAAGGACGAAAGAAAGCAGGTTTTTCCAAGTCGGTACCCACTACCTTCTATAATTTTTCCTCCCTGCGTGCCTTGAAATCCCCCCAGATCTACACTATACCTATTACACACAGGTAGAGGTCTGGCCAACGATCTTAAAAGCCACATTATCCTCGCTGACATAACAGATGTCTGAACCACCTCACACTCAGGTCGGCTCACCCCGCCCTGTCCTCCAACTTTGTGCAGGAAGCATCGTGGGTAGAGAAGTGGAGTTTCCTTATGAAAAGGTATTTGTCTGGCTGGTTGAGAAGCTAGAGCCATGTCATCTAGAGAAGCAAGCTTCTCACGCTCCTCATCACCATATGACCTTTGGCCTAGACTTTTTAGGAACTGCCATGGGCCAGTCAACTTTCTCCCCCTCCCACGGACCATCGACAGCCCAAATAACAAGCGAGGCACATCCTTGCGGCTCTGTACTTGTGACGTCCCTGAGACTTCTCCTTCCAGCATGGGATCACTTTGTAAAACACTGACTAGTAGTCTGTCATCTGAGCAGAGAATTCCAGAAACGGAGTTAATATTTAATCACATTAGTACTGGCATGTTTTACAGCGAGACAAAATAAAATATCATTACAGAAATGGCCTTTGCCTGAGAGGGTGGTAGAGGGAAACACTTTCTGGGCCGGAAGTTCAAGGCCCATCAACCTCACTGGATATCTCCACACCACTTAATGGGACCTCAGGACTTTTAAGAAAATAGATTATTTTTTTTCCTATAACCGCCCCCCTCCCTTTTTTTCTGACTTATTTCAAAGTGGCTCTTTCTCTGGTTGTCAGCCAGGGCTCTCAGAGGCTGACAGAAAGCTGTGTGTATTTATTTGTACAACCTGTACAGATGGAACTGTGGGGTGTTATCATAATGAAAAGTTTAATCATCCTTGTTCACTGCCAGTAAGGGAGACCGGAGTGTCCCTATGAAGCCCCAGCTCGTAGCCCGAGCAGCACATTCATAAGCCTCATTTCCTCAAGCTATCCAGGGGACTGTCCTTCCCATATCAGAGCGCAGGACAAAGGGGGTCAGGTGGGTATCCCCACCAGGCTCAGGAGAAAGCCAGCCCTTCGGGCCCCGAGGAAGTCTGTCTCCTCACATACAGGAGAGTTTTCCTCCAGTTTACAGGGTAAATCAACCCAAAAACAACTGGTACATATTTGACCTATGGATGGTACCGGGACACTGAAACAAGCTAAAAAAAAAAAGATTTCTGTATGCAGCCTGCACCTCTCACATTCAAGATGAGGTGGGAAGATACATTTAAAAAAAAAAATCATTAAAACTCCAATATTTCTCCATCTAATAGGGTCCTTCTAAAGACTGGAAGGAGAAATACTAACCGGTTTTCTTTATTAGCTCTCTAATTTTTAAAAACTTTTCTCACCCCATTCTGACCAATACGTTTTGAATTACTGGGGTGGGGGGGCGGGGGGGGGGGACGTGCTGGACCAAGAGAAGTGATAGCACTAAGTTCTGTGCTGACGGACTATTGATCGGGCTAGATCGGGATGTTATATACAAGAAAATAAGGGGGCAGCAGGAAACTGTGTCCAACTGCATTTTAAAAGCCCGAGCCGAGGGGAGCTGAGGGTCCCAAACTAACCAATTTCTGGCCTTGCCCGGGAGGAGTCTGTAGAATGCTGATGCCGGCCCGGTGTCTGCCGCGCATGCTAAACACCCGGCTTCAAATGAGAGCGTGCGTCTGGGCATCCCAGGCCGGGCAGTAACAAGGAACAAAGAGAAAAGCAGCCAGACCACACTCGTGAACCAGAAACCTAAGGAAGACTACCCAGACAGAGTTCCAGCACCCCCTCAGCTCCCGCCCTCCTCCTCCCGAAGGGGGCCTGTCATATTTTCTTAAAACCTACCCTCCCGGATCCATACTTAAGACGCAGGAGGCTGTGGGAGGGTTCAGCAGAGAGCTGAAAAGGAGGGTAGCAACCAAGGGTACATTTTTTTTTTTAAAGACAGGCTTAAAATTGCCAGCCATGCCACAGGCACCGTGGTAATATTCTGTTCAGCAAAACCCAGTGATGCCACCTCGGGACTTAGAATCACCGTGGGGAAAGCAGGCAAAATGGTGTTACCAATTTTCAAAAGCTACCAGCTGTGTTTCTGTAAAGAAAAAGGGAAGGAAAAAAAAAAAAAGGCCCGTTCCTATAAAATGTAAACTTACTGTAGCCCGCTCATCCTTAGATTTAAGGGCCCTTGGACTTTCTACTGGCTCTGCCCCTCCCACCTTACAGGCCTCCAGGCCTGGTGGGGACCGGGTGGGGTGCTCAGAGTGCAAGAGACAGACCTGAGCCTGGACATCTGTCACCAACGCCAAGCGAGATATTGACAAACGAAGGTCCTTTGTGTGTTAGGAAGACACTGTCACATCCCCAAACACAAATGACGTCCTGAAGGAACGATGCGGTCACTACTGCCAGGAGGAAGCCAGCCCCAGCCCTCCTGCCCGATGCCAAGCAGAGACACACCTGGGATGGTGGCGGTTGCCTCCAACCCTGGCGGGTCCCCAGGTAAAAGCTATTCCCTCTAAAAAAAAAAAACAAATGTCCAATGAGGCCTGGCCTCTGAGTGACGCTGCCTACACCAGGGCGGGGACTTTGAGAAAGTATTGCCACCTAAGCCAACTCGGGCGGAGGGCTACGGAGGGAAGGGTGGGGGCGGTGTAGCCAGGTGTCCTGCCGGGGAGGGGACCCAGAGCACCTTAAGCAGCGGGGCTGAACCCTGGGGGGCAGCAAGAGTCTTAGTGAGAAATGGGGAGGGCAGCTTCGCCAAGGCCTGCACCCTGAAAAACTCGGCTAAAATCAGGAGGTGAGAAGGCGCAACTACAGATGATCCTCCTCCAGAGGGGAAATCACCAGGAAAACCAAAGTCTACCTGACAGCCCAGCAGGGTGCAGCCAGAGGGTGCCTGGGTCTGTGGAGACGGAGCGGGCGGCTGGCCCACGCTAGGGCCGGCCCCAGAAAACAAGGAAGGCGGGTGGTACATATACCTTCTTTGTTGTTGGGGTTCTGGGGCTTGGCCTTCTCCCAGGGCGCCAGAGCCGTCTTGTCCTCATCGCCACCGTCCACCAGGGCCTTGTCGGGAGGCATGTACCAGGTGGTGCTGTGCTCTGCCATCAGGGAGTCCAGGTCGATGGTGCTCATGGCGCTCTTGACCGCCTCGGAGCAGCAGCTGCCCAGGTCGCTGCTGTCCCCGTTCTGGGCTCCCGAGGCCCCGACGGCACACTCTGCCTTTTTGGCGCCCTTGAGCCCCAGGGGGGGCTGGTCCTCCGAGATGCTGAACTGCTGCCTCTGTAGCTGGATCTGGGCCTGGAGGATCTCCAGGGGATGGATCTCGTCGGGGGGCGGCGCGCCGCCGCCGCCGCCGCCACTGCTGCTGCTCGTCGGGGTCCGGACCTGCTCCAGGCCTGGGGTGCCGGGGTGGCCCGTGCCCACGGCCCCACCGTAGCTGTCAGGGGTCGAGGTAGAGGTAGACAGGATGCCCAGGCCGAGGGCGGCGGCGGCAGCCTTCGGCGCGTGTTCCCCGGCCCCCACCCCTCCTCGGGGAGGGAGTTTGGGTGAGCTGGTGACCAGGGGGCTGCGGCTGGCTTTGGCCAGGGCGGCGGGGTTGTCGGAACTGGAGGACACTTCGTCCTCGTTGGCGTAACTCGTGCTCACCTCATCGGAGGCGAACTCGCCCACGCGCGGGGAACTGCCGTCCGATTTGGCTGTGCTGTCCAGGGACGCCATGAGGTCCGGCTGGTCCCCGAGGAGCAGCTCGGCTCCCTTTCCCCACGACGGCGACGTGAGGGCCTTCTCGTGGGGCGTGGGCCCGCGGGCCTCGTTCACGGAGCTCCCCGCAGCAGCCGCCGCCGCCGAGCTGGGAACCTGCTGCTGCCCGGGGCTCAGCCCTGGCGCACCCCCACTGTCAGGAACCGTCGCCGCCGAGTACTTGTCGAAGAAGTTCCCGGGGCTCACGTGACCGCTGTCCCTTTTTCTGCGTCCCCTTCCCCGGCCACCGCCCCCTGGGACAGGCTTGCCATCGTTCCCCGATGTTGACTCCAGGGTATAATTGGGGGAGAGACTGGTGCCATCCCCCTGGATGGGTGGGTTGGGCGGTCCTGAGGATTTAGAGCCGCCACCACTGGCCCCGGAAGGGCCTCCGGGTCCAGGGGCCCCAGTAGTCCCTCCAGGGAAGTAATCCGAGCCCGGGTTGCCGGCTGCGGCCGCGCTGTCGGGCTCGTTCTGGCTCAGTTTCCTCTTCCCCTCGGGTGGGTTCTTCTTGTTGAAAGTCACGTTGAGGTTGGGAGCACCCAGGCTGGCGATCATGTTCTGGCAAGCGGTGGAGAGCGCAGCCAGGCAGCTCTGGCCGAACAGGTTGTCCTTGGAGCTGGGCTTGTTGAAGGACCCCAACGACAGCGCGCCCAGTTTACTGGCCGAGTTGCGCTGGCTGGGCTGGAAATCCGGCTGCGGCGGGTAACCTCCCCCGCCAGCGCCGGAGCTGCCGCTGCCCGCGCCCGCGCTCGGGGGCGAGTTCACGCCTGGGGCGCTGTGCGGCGTGGCCTGCCGGCTCCCTGAGCCAAATGGAAAGCCGGGCTGGCCCCCGAGAGCTGGCGCAGGGAAGTCCGGAGGCTGGGGCCGCCGCTCCGACGGAGCGTTGGGCAGTCCCACACCGGCCCCAGGCGACTGCAACTGGCCTAGGCTAGCCAAGCTGCCCCCAAACTGCAACCCCGGCGAAGCCAGCGCTGGCACGTGGCCTTCCCCCGGCATCCTCAGAGGCTCCTGCAGAGAGCCTCGAAATAGCACCCCTGAGCCACCCGGAGCAGGGGGAGGTGCCAGGCCAGGGTCGTGCGGGCCGCAGTCTGCCGGCAACCCCGCGCCGCCCATCCTCCGGGGCAGCAGGTCTCCGGGCGGGTGTGGACCCGGGAACCACGCGCTCTCCTGCGCTAGGTGGGGCGCCTGCTGCTCGAAGCCGCCCAGGCGCCCCGCACCCGCGCCGCTGCCCTCGCGTTCAAAGTTCGTCTGAGCCAAGCCGCTCACCGAACCTCCGTGGACCAGGCCGCCCTGGCCCACGTCCCCAGGATGGCCCAGCTGGGCTAGGCTGGGCTGTCGCAACCGCTGCTGCTGGTTCCGAGACGCCATCTGTTTAATTATGAGGGCCGCGTTCTGGCGTTGCTGTTGCTGCTGCTGCTGCTGCTGTTGTTGTTGCTGCTGCTGCTGCTGCTGTTGTTGCTGCTGCTGCTGCAGAGACTGGTGGTCGGGACCTGGGTGCTGCAAGGGCGGTCCCGAGGGGAAGCTGTCCGGCACAGGCGGTGTGAACTCGCCTGGAAGGCCTGGGTAGGCAGAGGGGGAGAGTTGGTTGTCCAGGGCGCCGTTATGCATGCTGCCATTCCACGAGGCACAGCGGTCCACGCCTGCGCTGCCCGGGAAGTCAAAGCGCGGCCTCTTGGCCACGTTCATGTAGGGGGGCGCGTCGAAATGCTGCAGCCTCTGGTTGGGCGCCTGCTGAGGAGGGGGATGCTGCATGCTGAAAACGGGCTCAGAATACGGGTGCATGCTCCGGTTCTCTAGCCGGTGGATGGGGTACTCGAACTGCGCGTGCTGGCTGGGCAGCATGGGGCCCCCGTCCTGCAGGCCGCCGCTGGGTGTGCCAGCTTCGCCCTGCTGGGGCCGCGGGAGAGCAGGAGGGCAAGAATTCTGTCGGACCAGAAGCCCGGGTGGTGGCGGCGGCGGCGGCTGCTGCTGCGGGGGCTGCGGCGGCTGCGGGGGTGGTGGGGCCTGCTGGGGAGGCTGCATTAAGGGGTGCCGGGAGCCCACCGTAGGCTCCAGACCCACAGGCATCTTCCGGGCCCCGCCAAACCTCTCGAAGAATACTCCGTGCTGAGGTTGCTGCTGTTGTGGAGGAGGCTGCGGTGGCTGGCCGTGCATTTTGGACAAACCCACCATGCCTGCGGCCCTGGGCAAGGTTGAAGCACCCGGGAAAGCGCCCCCGGGAACCTGGCGACCCGCCGCATAATGTGGCAGCTGCCCTTCGGAGTCAGAGGGCGAAAACATGTCAAAATGTCCTGAGGGCGGCTCGCCCGGGTAATTGTATTCCAGCGAATCTACAGCTCCTTGGTTCGTCACCCTCCGGGGCTCCAGACTGTGAGACTCCGAGCCGCTGGAGGCGGGCAGGCCGTGGAAAGAGGCAGCCCGGTTAGGGCTCTGGTCCAGCGGCAGGCACGGGGCAGGCACGGCGTGGCCCGAGGTGCCCGAACTGTGGAAGTCCGGGAGGTTTCCTGGCCGCTGCGGGCCGAAGCCCTCCGGCCCCTGGCTCTCCGCCATGTGCTCATAACTCTCTGCGAAGGGCGGCTGGCTGCCCAGGCCGCCCGCTGCACCTCCGTAGCCAAGCAGCCGGCCCCCGTGCAGACACGAGGCACCTGGGTCCGGACCACCGAAGTTGCCCCCGAAGTGGGGGTGATGCTGGTGCGGGTGGTGGCCTCCGGGGTGGCTATGGTGAGGCTGCTGGCCACCGAAGAAGCCATGCACAGGCTGCGCCTGCAGCCCCCCTGCGTGCAGCTCGGAGTGGCCGCGCGCGTGGAAGCCGTAGGGCTCCATGTTCAAACCCAAGATCGGGGGTTCACCCAGAGCGCTTATGGCAGGGTCCACAGGGCCAGGAGGGGGGCCGGCGTGGAAAGCAGGAGCCTTAAAGTGGGCGTTCATGTTCAGTCCGGCTTCGTTAAAGTTCCCCTCGCCCTGGCCAGCGTGCCGGCTGTTGATCTGGGGCTCGAACTGGTCCAGCCCAAACATACTTGGCGGGGGGCGGGGGGATCAATAGGGCATGACAGCCTGCTCCGCCGCGCGCCTCGGGCCAGCTACTCGCTTCAGCCGCGGCTCCGGCGCTCCGGGACGTTCTGCACCGCGCGCGGGGCGCAGCGCTCACCGCCACCGGGCCAGGCGCGCGGGCGCTGGCTGGGAGCTCTCCGCTGCTCTCCGGAACCTCGGGATCTACCCAAGCGGGCCTCTCACGTCTTGTGAGGCCGCGGCGCCTCCTGGAGCCTGGTCGGGGGGCCCATGCCCCGGGCGGATGGCACGGCCGCGGGTGGGTATGCGGAAAGGAGACCTGGCGGCCGACGAGCTGAGACAAAAAGTTAAGTCGGGGGGAGGGAAAGGGGCGGGAGAGCGGAATGATCACCTTCTGGAGTCCGCGGCGCGGCGGCTGGGGCCGTAGGGGAGCCCTTTGGTCCCTCCCCTGCCCCGAGTCCCCGCGCCCGGGTCGCACGGGCTCCCGCACCTCCGGGCGATCGGCGGCGAATGCTTCAGCGGCTCGGAAGACAGGCGGCTCCGCTCCTCATCGCCGGTGCTGGCCCCGCAGCAGGAGATGCGGGCGCCGGAGCGGGAGCGCAGGCTGCGGGAGACGCGCGGCTCCGCGGCTCGGGCTCGTCCGCCA